GCCTATGCTTTGACAATACTTTGGCTATGTTCTCACACGGCAGCTAACGGTTAGCAGGATTGGGATCCTGCTAACCGTTAGCTGCCATGCGTCCATACGAGAAAATCCCAATCCGGATACCAAGAATATGATGATCGAATCGCTAACCAATAAGAAACTGGAAATTGTAAACGCGACGTGTTATTGGTTGATGATAGAAAGGCACTCACTTGCTAACCGATAGCGCTTGCTAACCCTTAGCGGTATCCGGATCCCGCAAATGGTTAGCGCTAACCGATCGGGCGTTCTCGCACAGGTGCTAACGGTTAGCGCTAACAGTTAGCTCCCGATCCGGATACTAGGTCTCTCTTGAGAACCAGGCTATAGTAAATATGAATGCAGGTGTGTAATTTTCATTGTGCATTTAATGTAAGCAATTTGATGTGATGGATCATAGAACAATAAAACCCTTGAATTTTATTTGAACTTATTTATATTGTCAGTCATAGTATGTTAAATGTGGGGCTTAGGTAGTAGATCCTCTACCTGTGAAGTATCACCCCCCCCCCACTGAATCGCTAACCAATAAGAAACTGGAAATTGTAAACGCGACGTGTTATTGGTTGATGATAGAAAGGCACTCACTTGCTAACCGATAGCGCTTGCTAACCCTTAGCGGTATCCGGATCCCGCAAATGGTTAGCGCTAACCGATCGGGCGTTGGCACAGGCTTAATCTGATTGAAAGTGCTGAAATTTTAGGTAAAATAACCAACAAAAATAAGGAAAAAGTATATGGCTAGAAAACATTAATAACCAGTCAAAACTAAGAACTTTACCATGATTGTAATATAAAAGATACTTATAAATTAAATTGAACCATATCTGCTGCTACTTAATCAATCAGTCAAGTTATGTGTAACTCAATTACGAATTAGCTCTCACTCACTTGAAATAGAGAAGGGTCAGTACACATGTCCCCCCGGAATTAAGATTTAACCACCATTGGAAAACGGGAGACATAGAAGATGAGGTGCCCTTCTCTTAAAATGCAATTTTTATGATCATCTGAGGGCTCAATTACTGCATGACTTAAATAATTTGATTAATATATCTAATAATAACGATTATATAAATGTTATCAATGTTATGAAGTCTACTGACTGACAAGATGTTATTCTTGCTGTAACCATCTTCATAAAGCAAGCTTTCAAGTTGCGAAATGAAATAAATAATATGTTGATCTAGGTACAGTACTTCTGATTCAATAACTCAATAGGCCTACCAGTATTTCAAAAGAAAAAAGATCAACTGAAGTTCAGAGCAAATACTTGGCTTAACAAAGGAGATTTGACCTTGGAATTGTTCTTTTCTTCCAGTTTAACCCCCCTATATTATGTCAATTAATTTCATATTATAATGTGTTTATATTGATTGAGTTTGGGAAACAGCAATAAAAAAGTCTAGACATTACTCGGTGTGTCTGTAAAACAGAACATAAGACTTTTTCTCATTGACATAATTAGAAATGATGTTGAATATTCTTATTGCCTTATTTTTAAGTTATTTTTAATTTTAACATTAAATTTTGCCCAGGCTCAGTGTTCTTGTTTTGTTGAACATTTCATGCTTAAAATGTTCTTATTTTGTAGTTATTTTACACACTTTTCAAAAATTGTATAGCAGTATATTACATAGACATACCTACTGCACAAAAAGTGCAGATAAAATTTGTTGGTTTTTTTTTAATAGAAACCTCATTTGACATTTTACCTCAGTGTATTTGGTTCTGAGAAAGATTGTAATTTGCCAAGGCTCATTAAAAAAGAATGATCAGAATGAGTGAAGATGAGTCGAGTCAAAATAACATTTATTTACTTTTAAAAACAAATATTTGTATACATCTATAAACAAAATATATTATATTATTGACTGAAGTTCTAATATTAGAATAAGAACATGAAAATTCTGTCCAATATATTTATTATACACCTATCATTAAAATTTAGTTCACTTAGTTCTTCAAGCGGTGTTTTACCTATGTTTATTTTCTGTGGTCAATTTCCAGCATGTTTTTTCTTGTATACAATGAAAATAATAGCTGATGAAATACCGATAACCAAAATCCAAAATACAAATGTTAGAGGGACAACAAGCAATGAGTTTTTCGTGAAAATTATTGCTTGTTGATCTGTTTGTGGTTGTTCAGAGTAGACATTAGTCTGTAGATCATGTTGACTAAGACTAACATTTAGTATTAATGTGTGATTACCAGTTGCCATATTTTTAGAAGCATTGCAAGTTACATGGCATCCATTCATGTCCATATCAGCGGTGTTAATAAAGATTTTTTTATCCATGACTTCAAACTTGTTAACTGTATCATTACTACAGTTTTTAAAGACCCAGTTGTAAGATATGTCTTCAAAATGCTCCATTGTGTCGCATTTTATGATGATGCTGTCTCCGGTATATGCAAACTCCTGCATTGCTGTGACGTACACATGCAGTTTATTGGTAATGTTGAGGGCATCTGTAGAACAGATACACCTAATATCCTGATATTTCACTACGCATTTGTACTTCTCACCATGTCCTTCCCTTGTAGCTGGAAATGTAATGACTGAGGTCGTGAAGTCCGTTTCATTTAACTGTTTAATTAGGGTACCTTCCACAAGCCATTTCATTTCGACATTCCATTTGATTTCACACTTCAACCTAACTTCATCTCCTACAGCATACATCTGTTGAGAGGCATTGCATCTAAGTTCTGGTATTTCTTGAACAGTAAAGTTTGCCAATTTTGACCTGGCTATAACATTACCCCTGTATCTAACCACACATTGGTAAAGACCACTGTCAGATTGTTTTAAATCTTGTATTTGTAAGGCTAGATTATTCTTAGTAATAACAAACCTTTCCGTATCATGGTTGTATTCTAGCGCATGACCGTCCTTCTCCAAACTAAATTGCATCTCATCATTTAATTGTCCGTCTGGAATGCAATGGAAATCCACATTTTCATGTTCAAAAGCAATAATGTTAGGCCTCTGAGGTAGTAAAATAACATTCACCTTCTGACTTCTTGATACCTGTATTTGGTAGATAGCGAAATAAATTATTGCAAATGTTTGGATTCTTGCCATGTTTATTAATTTCTCATAAAATATACAATCGTTTTGGTAGTTGAAATATCTCTGACAAGAACTGATGATTGATAGATTCTCAACTTCTTATATATAGCCAGTTGATTGGCTGACATTATGGGAGGAGCCTAATGTTGATTGGCCGAGAGTAACTGAGAAGTCAGATTCGATTACCATAATTCTGTAACCTGAATTTCACTCCAAAATTGACAAGACCATTAAAACTGTAGCCTTGTGTGCTAATAGGCATTATAGATGGCGCTATTTCTTTTAAATTTTTGAAGAAACATAGGCTCCCAACGGGAGCATGTGTCTACTGCTTGATATATATTTTTTTTTTTGTAACTTATGATGCAACCCATCATTCCTCCAACCAGATTTACTCTTACAACTTACAGGAGAAGTGATAGCAAAGTGTCTACTTGCTCACGAGCGGACAAAAATTAGAATTTTAATGTACATGCTGTTTCTAATTGTGTGATTTTATAAGTTTGTTAAAATACTCCTAGATAGCCTATGTCAGTATATAATGCAAATGCTTGTTTCATTGACCTATGTTATGTGAAAATTGATTTAAGATACACTTTATTACTCCAAGTAGGAAATTCAATTCTTGCATTAAAATACAATTGACAGTAAAAGATTAAAACAATGATCAAATATAATAAAATATAATTTGCTGTTCATTTATGAGTTGAAATCGTGTCAATCAAAATTTTTTTTTTTAGTTTTAGGCTAATAATTTATAGCATATTTTACATGAAAAATTCATATTACAGTTTGTCAAAGTCATAGTCTCAAATTTGTTCATCCATGAACAAGGAAATTTCATAGTTTGGTTACAGTATAAAGCATCAACAGTCTCTATCAACATCAACAGTCTCTATCAAAGTCAGAGTCAGTGTCAAAGTCATAGTCTAAAATTTATATCCATAAAAAAGGAAATTTCAAATTTGTTCATCCATGAACAAGGCAATTTCATAGTTTGTTTACAGTATGACAGCATCAGCAGTCTATCAAAATGTCAAAGTCATATTCTAAAATTTATTTATCCATAAAAAAGGAAATTTCAGTGATTTTTACATCATAAATTCATTAACATGTACCACAGATAGTATACTGTATCTTTACCAGAATACACACTGTAAATAGAATGTACTAGTATTGAAAAACAAGTGTTTGGCTAAAAGGGCAATTAAATAATCAATATACTTGTTAGTGTACAGGTATATGATTGGGGTCATGTCGTTCGATTTAAAAATAAATTAGTGTTAGAAATTGAGGAATTAGGTTCCTTTTTCCTCTAGTAATACTGGGAAATACTGGCCTAAGAATTATTATAAATCCATGGATAATGGCTCCATCACACAAAATAATAACCACTGTTATGTAACTATCTACTAGTGGAATCAAATGGCCGAGCGCAAGCTGCAGCCAAAATATCGGCGCTGGTTCCAACGGTGCACTCACCTAAGTCTTCTCGGATAAGGACTATAAACTGTAGGCCCAGTGTATTCAATGGCTCGTGTGTACTATAAAGAACCCAGTACATCCTTCGAGACGATACCCTGGTGTACTGGAACAGACAGCCCCTGTGGTGGACGACGAGAGTTGCTGGTACTGCGTTACCCGGTAGCACTGACACGAAGGGGCTAAGAAAGTCTTTGATCTAGTTCCTAGTCCACATATCAAGCGCCCTGAGCATCTTATGTTAGATGGATATGTGCGCTATATGAAACTACATTATTACTGAATTATTATTATTACTATTATTATTATTCAGTTCTCTGGCATATTGGACAGTACCTCATGAAATCCTTCATAGTATTCCATCTGGATCTGGAGAACTTCCTTTTATTAATGCTTATAAGCAGGAATGACCCTTCTCAACTTTTCATACACCCACCATAAAAGCTTCGGTAACAACCTGTAATTATAAAGTTATTTAACACATGTTCTGGGGTCCCAATTTAGGAGAAATCCGTTCCCGGGGATCTGGTTAATTAATTTCTTAAGATATTTAATTTTACTTCGCTGCATATGGTGATACCCATCAGCACTGACTTCCATGAGACAATTTATATTACAGTATAGTATGTATGTTTGAGTTTCTAACTCTATTTGAATTCTAATAGGTTGTGCCATATAGTGTGGTAGTACCTAGTTTTTGTTTCATTGCATGCATGAAAAATCAAGGCAGTCTGACCTCTGACCTCATATACTCTTGGTTTAGGCAATCAATTGATATGGCTGTAGTAAAACATTGAATTGTAACAATTGTTTCTATATATTTTTTCTCTCATAGGTATTACACAGATTTTGAATTGGTTAATGAGATCCTACATGTTGTGTTCATATTCCTTCCTCTGCTCTGGACGTTTGCACTACTTCCACCGTTGGATGCACTTTTTCTATGGTTAATGGAACAATGTGTCATTATTCTTGGTGGGTCCCCGATGGCTGGTGATATGAGGTAAGTTTTAGGTGTGTTAATACCGGTAGTTGATAACGTGCAAAAATGGAACATTCTCTGCTAACATTTGACTGCTAACCAGTGGCAAACCTACGTACATTATCAAGTTGCTTGCAATGCAATATTACAAATTATTTTCCATATGCCAAAGCAAGTTAAAAAAGAGCGCCACCAAGTATAAATATTTTCTATTTGTTTGTTATAAAATGCAAAAAATATCTCAAAATGTAATTTTACATCATTACGTAGGTGCGCTGCTACTTGAGCATGTTTTGTGAAGTTTGGCCCCTGGCAGCCTTGCTCAAAACTCTCCATATTTTTAGTAATGAAAATTTAATCAAATCATCTTAATGTCATGAATATATGAATCATTCAAAATGTATACGGTGTTATAAAAAGTGTCTTCTATGCTAACATTATTACATTTTAGATATACATCACTTTCAACTCCACTCAATGAGCATAGCTCTTTGGGCATATTTACAGCTTTAATGCCGACTCAAAGATAGGTCCTGCTGGTGAAATGAAATCATATGAGATGATTCACTTCAGTGTATGTTTTGCATTTACCTTTTCTACACTCTCCATTTGATATGCTAAAATATGTATTACCTTTGATAAAAAAAATTTCTTCTTTGTATATATTTTGCAGGTTGATAGTAATGCTTCTAGCCTCTTGCAGCAGTTTTGTTGTTATTTATTTTTTACCATCATCTGAAGCCATTACTATTGCTAGTGCATGTTTGGGATACTTTCTGAGTCTAGATCATGCAAGTTTAATGAACCGAATAATAACAAAAGTAATGAAAAAAGATTCAACCAAAAAATCATCAGCCAATCAAGAGCCTACAAGAGTACATATAGGATTTGGCTGGCAGTGGACAGTTAAGGAACTAATTTTTCACCTTTTTATGCTAGCTGTGATTTTTGGAATTGCTGTTGGAATCATTTTACCGGCCAATGATTTTAGCCCTACTGTAAGCAAGGCTGTTGGATATGCTGTTGTCGGATTGGCTATCTTTGTAGTAATACTTGGAGAGATGCAAGGGGTTTACATGATGTTTGGAATGTGGAGGAATTATCTATACCCTCACAGTATTATGGAAATGGATAAATACTTCAAAGCTAAGTCGCTTTTGATAAAAGTGGCAGTTTTACGCAGAATAATCTTAGACTTTGGTGAGTATTTTATGCCCATGTGATAATGGACCTTTCCACTGGGCCCTGCCCCCTTGAATATTGCTGCTAAGGTCCCGCAAAATGATAGTGTTAAAACATACGCAAGCATGTGCGTTTGTGGGACAGCGTGTGTGTCCTGTTCTAATTGGTCTGTTGTTAAGTTTGATTAACACTTTGGAAAGGTCTATTATGATGACTGGTAATTTCTCTCTGGTTTCGACTGTGTATGCCTATTTCAAAGGTTAAAGACCAATTTCAACAGAGGGGCGGATCCAGGATTTG